ACTCTACATTATCTGTATAGCATGTGTGTAAGACTCGAATACAATTATGAAGTAATCATTTTATGACGAATAAATCTTTCAGTGAGTAAAACTGGCTGTGTCTATAGTATTAAAGACTACACAGCATTATATATTATCTTTAAATTAATTTTGAAAATAAACTGCTCCCGAGCAGGTTTAAGCTTACGGACTGCTTGCTATGACAGCAACTCCGGGATGAGCTTCGAAGAACCAACCAATCCAAGATCATGCCAAATCATCAACAATCAAATCCAGCTAACGGAGTTAGCCACGTACGAAGAACGGACCCCAGGTGGAAATTGAACATCCCACAATACCGGAGGATCCACTAACTAACATGTGCTAATGTTTGTCTGTTGCAGATCAAGAGCAGGGAGCAAGCCGGGCCAAGAAGCCCTCCTCACCAAAGAAGAAAAAGAAAAGAGAGAGAAAACTGGGGAAAGCTAAGGGTAGGTTTCATAAATCTTTGCAACTAACAATTTTGATAACTGATAAATCTAATCATTATTAGAACAATTGTCTTTACAGTAAGAGCATAATACACATCTCATGATTCAGTGTAGTGTACAATACTGAACTCGTGGTTTATGATTATTTTAACTGAATCTGTTTAAAAAAAAAAAAATTAGGCCTTGTGTCCACCAAAAGGCTAGCATATTTTTTTAACTGCTTTCAATGGAAGCGCTGCATTTTTTTTTAAACCCCAGCAGCGTGAAGAGGTACTGAGCATGTATTTAGCGCTGAGCGCTCTGCATTTATTAATCGGTCCCTGAGAGTTGAAGAATGTTGGACTTTGAGTAAAACGCAGCACTCATCACTGTCACTTTTTACCCAGCAGTCCAATCAAAGTGGAGAACAACCCTATAAACATCATTTTAGTACTTCAGATTACAGTGTGTTTATGTTAAAGCTGATATTAATAAAAAAATTACTTAATAGTTAACAACATGTTCAGTTGGATTAATTTAAACACTTCCTGCATCATGACATGATTATGATCCGTAATAATGCATTGATTATGACAGCGCAGCTTTCAGGTATATTAGATTTGCCATTAGCGTTCACCGCTTCCATAATGCTTTGGGAAAAAATCACAAGGTAACGACTCTTCAATGCAGGCTTTGATGTCTGTGTACTATTCTGAAATAGCTTTTTAGAACCGCTTTTCTGGCAACTCTGCACTTTACTTGGAGTTTAAAACAAGTCAGATTGGCCCACAGTGTAAGTGTTTTTTCTTCAAAATAATCTTTAGTTTAAACATTTAAATTTTATTTATATTGCTAATAGCATTTACTCAACCAAAAACAAGACATTCCTAAAATGTCTTGTTTTTAAAAAAAAAACAATGAATAGTACTGTAGTCTGCAGCATTCCTGAATTGCAGTCATTTAAGTTTAAAGTCATTTTCCAGTGTTTCCTCAAAAGTGGAGATGACAGGTAATAGGCTACTTTTATGTTGATTTTTTTCTTGTTGATTTTATTTTTAATTTTTGGAGGGTCAATTTTAAGTTTAATTCTTGAGTGATTTTTTCCATATTTGTTACTTGTTTTTTTTAATTTTTTTATTTTTATCAAAAACAAATCCTAAACACCTTTACTTGATTATCATCAAAACATATTTGTTAGTGTTTATCACTAATCATGGTAAATTACAGTTCATATGAAAGCATGCATTATTTATTATTGTTATTATGGGGATTGCTGGCTTGCGGGGGTGTGGTCACCAACAGAGTCGACCCTGACATCCAGTGTAGGCAAATGCCATCCGTTAAGAGACTGAACGCCAGTGGGCGGAGCCTATGGTGTGATGATTTATAGCTATTGGTCGATGTCTTGCTCTAGAGGTGGTCATATGCAAATATATTTGCCCATGTGACATCACCGATCCCACAATATCAAAACAAGCTGTTGTTAAAGCTGATATTAATAAAAAAATAACTTAATAGTTAACAACATGTTCAGTTGGATTAATTTAAACACTTCCTGCATCATGACATGATTATGATCCGTAATAATGCATTGATTATGACAGCGCAGCTTTCAGGCATATTAGATTTAGCGTTCACCACTTCCATAATGCTTTGGGAAAAAATCACAAGGTAACGACTCTTCATGGCAGGCTTTGATGTTTGTGTACTATTCTGAAATAGCTTTTTAGAACCGCTTTTCTGGCAACTCTGCACTTTACTTGGAGTTTAAAACAAGTCAGATTGGCCCACAGTGTAAGTGTTTTTTCTTCAAAATAATCTTTAGTTTAAACTTATTTTAATTTTATTTATATTGCTAATAGCATTTACTCAACCAAAAACAAGACACTCCTAAAATGTCTTGGGTTTTAAAAACAAAACAAAACAATGAATAGTACTGTAGTCTGCAGCATTCCTGAATTGCAGTCATTTAAGTTTCAAGTCATTTTCCAGTGTTTCCTCAAAAGTGGAGATGACCGGTAATAGGCTAGTTTTATGTTGACTTTTCTTGTTTTTTATTTTTATTTTTGGAGGGTCAATTTTAAGTATATTTTCTTGAGTGACTTTTTCTTTAGGGATAATAGACAAATATGTATAAAGAAGAAGTATGAACATATGCACACTTTTACTGCTGCTCGTTCTCGTCTTTCTTGATGTGTTTGTGTTCATTTAACACTGAAGACCTGATGTGTGATTTGGTGTGCTTAATCTAACCCACTAATACAACAGCCATTTTTTTTTATTACCAGAGAACCTTTTGGATCCCAGCCTGCATGCACGATTTGTTTCATGTGCCAGTAATGAACTGCCCAAAGCCCTGCGTAAGTTACAAAGCTTTCTGAAGATTCCAGACAACACAATGCATAAGTGGAGCAAGAGTTTGATTTCATAGTTAATGGTTTTCATTGTGTGGGCTGATTTCTTTTTATTATGTTTTAGAAAACCTCAAGGAAAATAGCGACAGCAATGGTCTGGACCACTTCTTTGGTCTTCTTGGGGGTTATTGGTTGGCTCCTCTGGCCACAGGCCAGGTGTCATCCTCAACCTCACCACAGAAGAAGTCATCGACTCTAAAGAGGGACAGCATGGCCACACCATTTTTGTAAGTGTTTTAGTAGTCATTAACTTTTTTCACATTTGTTTGTTTAAATATATAGTCGTATACTTATTCATAATTATTTTACTGTGCAGGTGAAAAACCACAAAACGAGCAGGGCCTTTGGCCATGCCATATTAGCAGTGACAAAACAGGAGTACAAATACATGAGCGAGTGGGTGTGGTGAAAAGTGGGTGCTGGCTTTGGCAGGCCCATATGTACCCACAATTTTGAAAAAGCCTTGAGGAGGCCTTTGTACAGCCCACCCGTTTATGGCCCTAAGGACCTCAATGTCCACACAAGTAAGTGTAAATTGTGATATTGATTATTGCGTTGGTTGATAATATTAGCTAGTATAAGAACTAGTATTGAAGAAGATTCAATGCATGAAAAGAAGTATATCTGGACTAGTGCAATCCTGTATACACCACTGAATTTTGGTAGAATCCAGGAGTATTACTGACCAGTCATAATGATACCAATTTGAATGTATAAAGGTGTCTTTACTCAGCCAAGTTAAGGCTGCTCTGTGCCAGCTGTCTCTCTCTCTCTCTATATATATATATATCTATATCTATCTATATATATATATATGCACAAAAACACCTTTACTTGTTTATCACCATTTATTCACTTCATATTTGTTAGTGTTTATCACCAATCATGGTAAATTGCAGTTCATATGAAAGAAAAATATTTGCATTATTTATTATTATTATGGGGATGGCTGGCTTGCGGGGGTGTGGTCACCAACAGAGTCGACCCTGAATGTATAAAGGTGTCTTTACTCAGCCAAGTTAAGGCTGCTCTGTGCCAGCTGTCTCTCTCTCTCTCTATATATATATATATCTATATCTATCTATATATATATATATGAGTGACGTTTTCGAATTAGTAACGGAGGCTTCAGCTCAGCTGTTAAACTGTCAAACTGAGATTTTAATATGTGTCAGAAGGAAGTATATCCGCACAAAAGGGTTTTTAAAGACACTCCGTTGTTGTTTTTCATATATATTTACACTCGTGCCGTCGAACTGTTGTATATCGCAATATCACTCTGGTACTCGAGCGATACCGGCTCACAGCTAGAGGATGGCCCCCACCCCCTAGGCCAGTTCCATATGTGATTTTTACATACAAAGCTCATGTTACGCTCATGTGATGCTCATGTGGTTTTTCCGTAAGGGATAAATCCAAATAGATCAAATAATCCACATTTTTGTTCTTGTACTTTTTCTCTATCTTTTATCCAAAAAGGGTAAAAATGTGCTGCATAAACATGTTCACACCAAGGCCTACAACAGTGTGCCACTCCAAGTGTTTAATGTATCCCCTCGAGTCAGCTGTCACTCAGAGGCCAATAATATCTCAGTCTCTTTATTAGAATATAACTAGAAAATACAGCTATAATAAAATACTGAATAATAAAATACAGGAATTTGTTGTCAAAATGTTTTACAACATGTTAAAGAAAGAGTTGAAGACAGATGGAAGAATGAATGCTTGTGGCCTTCAGTCAAACATGTTGTAGGTTCTGTCCTGGTTTAGGGCTGCATTTCTGCCAGTGGTGTTGGCCATATTGTCTGAAATTATGGGCCTCCACAGAGTCCGGACCTGAATATGGGATCAGTATGGGATCACATGGACAAAGAAATAAATAAAAAACAGCCTAAATATAAAGAAGAACTCTGGGAACTGCTGAAAAGCCTGGTATTACATGACACATTATTTCAGAAAACTTCATGACAGTCTCCTCAAAAGAGTTGAAGCTGTGCCAAGGGAGGTCACACTAAATACTGACTTTTGGCTCAAGAATCTGTTTTGTTCTGAAAATTCGGTTCTTTTGTGTATGCATGTGTGTGCATATTTCCTGTTTGTATCTTGATAAAGACACTGTAGATAAATCCAATTTTTAATTTTCCATTAAGAACAGATTTACTGTTGGAACACGTTTGTATGCACTGATTTTTTTTCAACACCATGGCCTGTTGGAGGTGCGTGATTTGCTTCGTTGTCGTTGCCTTAACTTTGAAGTCTGTTGAGCCATATCAACACAGCACATAGTCGCAACCCAGATTTCCGTGTTATATGTGGAATTGATGGGTGTCCAGAAGAATACTGAGTATTCAATTCCTTCTACTACCGCATCAGACACTCACATGCTCTGGATCTTACGACTGGGCAGCCAAACACTGGATGGATAACGACAGCTGCATCTGAGCCATCTAGAATTGGAGGTGAACATTTTGACATGCCAGTGTTTTTAGACTGTACCACTCAAACAAGAGGGATGCAGAGGACCAGCAGTGAAGACACCGGACACCCCAAATGAAATGTCA